AGGTGCGAGTGGGCTCAGGGACCAGTCAGGTGCAGTCCTGTCCCTGAGTTGCAGGTGCGAGTGGGCTCAGGGACCAGTCAGGTGCAGTCCTGTCCTTGAGCTGCAAGTGCAAGTGGGCTCAAGGACCAGTACAGATGCTGCTCAGATGGGGTAACATGGCTTTGTCCTTTGTGGTCTGATGTGGAATCCCATCGCTAGGTCTGACCTTCTGTGCAGCCTCCTTGAGTGGACTGGGCAAAAAAAGGGATGCCTTGGGTTTTATGTGCCCTAGGGCACGGTCAGAAGGATCCGTGCACCAGACTTCCCCACAACACTTACTGGTGCTGACACTAAATGTCTTTCAAATATTAACTGTATTAACCCTCCCAGCCTTAGAGATAATGACTATTATTTCCACTTTACGGATGAGGACACTGAGGCCCAGAACAGTGAAGTCACATCACTCAGGCTTCCAGCTGGTGTGTAAGCCCAGCACTGGGCCCCTGGCTATGAGTGATGCTGCCTGTCCAGCTTCCAGGTCCACACCTGGCCATAGTCAGGTCACCTGCCCAGGGTCACACAGCTCCAGGCGGCCGTGATTCCAAACTGGTCTATCTGAACCCGAGGCTCCCACTGGTAGGACCAACTGTCCCGTGCTAAACTAGTTCTACTTTATAATAAAGTTGTGGGCTTTACTTTTTCTTTATAAATTCTTGACAGAAATTTATAGAATCTTTAAATTCTTTCATAGAGTCTTCAGGTCCTCGTTAATGAGCTCGATGATTGTGGCGTGTTACTTAACCTCTGTTCTCTTTCCCACTGAATCGATGTGACAATAACCATCTTCATGTAATCATTCAGCGAATAAACATGAATTATTATTAAGTATAAGGCCTGGCGTTCGGTGTCTGCATGAACCTTGTGGTTTGATGCGGAAAAAAGAATTCAGCATAAAATACAAATAATGTGTGGCCAAGGAGAAGTCAGATTGCAAAACAGGCAAGCGGGCAGAGTGCTTCCATAGAGGATATCCGTGCTGAAACCAGGGGCGGGGGCTTGGAATGACCACCACGGCAGCACCCTCCCTTGGAGAAGACACCAGCTGCCTTAGCCATGAGCACAGTCCCGCACCCAAAGGAGGCGAACGTGGGCCTTTGCTGCATGTGCAGACCCACGTCCTCCCTGACCCTAGGTTCCAGACCGTGGGAGGGTGGTGAGGGCAGCTCGGCTCCCAGACCCACACACATACTCACTTATACTGTGACTGGTCGTTGCCACCGACATCTGGGGACGTCAACTTCTGCAGTAAAATTCGTATGATACTAATAAAAAGGACAAAATTGACCTGCACAAATAGAGACCACATGTTTGTGTGGGATTTCCCTGCAGGGAGGGGATGTAGCCGGGACGTCTGTGGCTCAGCCCCGCCTGAATCGTCTCTCCTCCCCTCTGTGACAGAAGTGCAGGAGCCCTGCCCAGCCTGCGGCTGCCCCCCAACTTGGAGCTGACTGTGTCCCCTGACAGCATCATGTGTCTCAGGGCCCAGGCTACAGGAGCAAGCCAGTTCTGAGATGGGAGGTGGACAAATGACAGTGTGATTCAGCTGTGCAGTGCGTGGCTGTGACTTCCTTGCAGGGTTCCTCCCCGAGCCGGAGAACACGCCTCTCTCCCTCCACCCCTCCCCCATCACTGAGCCTTCGTCCCGACCGGGCCCGAGTCTAGGACTGATGGAAGGAGCTGGGCCGCTGTGTGTGGGTCTTCTCTCAGAAGGCTGAGCAGAACGGGGCTATTTATATTTAATACAGGAAGTGGGCTCCCTCTCTACCCAAGTGTGCAACCCAATGGATAGCTCATGTTTCAATACAGAAATTACTTACTAGGATAGATATTAAAATTGGTGTCCGTATAACCCACCAGGGAACACTGTGGTCGTTGGTATCCCAACACCTATTGAGAAGAGAGAAGGAAAATCATGTTACCTCTGATTCATCCACAAGCTCGCTGCCTCTCAGCCCTTACGCGGTACTGGCAAAACCAGCTGGCTCCTCCCACCGCACGCGCTACATGCCTGGTGCGTTACGTGGCCCCCCTGAGGGCCCGCAAGTGCCGCGGTAAGGCCGAGGTGCTCCGCACTCACAGATCCGGATGCAACCCGTCCCTATCCAGTGACTTTGTTTCATGTTATTCTTCCTGACAGGACAGTCTGCTAATGGAGAGATGGAGCAAAAGCAGAACTCCAGGCCATGGGAGAAGGGGGAGAGCAAGCCCCAGGGAAGGCCCATAACCTGGGAGTTGGTGTAGCTCATGCTCACTCTGGCCAACAGAGGGGAGTTTTTCTCCTGAAAATTAATTTCCTCTCGTCTCCTGAATGGTTTGTATCTGTACCTTGAATGAAGGTTTGAAATGTCTTTGGAATAACTGAGGCAGGCACAGCTAGGAATGTCTGTCTGGCAATGTTCTCACTGCGGGTTTCCAGCGTACGCGCTGTCTCCGGTAGGAAGCTGGGAGAGGGCGCTTGCAATGTCTCCATTACTCGCCCCCCAGCGAGGCTCTGAAGCCCCTCCCAGCAAGGGCAGAGACCAACCCTCGCCTCTGAATCCTAGCTGGTTTTGGCAATAGGATGTGGAGCGCTTGGAACCCGCAGGACAGAAAAGAGCCTGCTAGTTGTGCTACTTCAGACGGGCCAGTCCTCGGCCAACCCAGCAGGTGCCCACGGTGCGTGAGCAAGCCGGGCTGAAGCCACAAGAATGCCAGGGGAGCCAGCCCACGCTGCCAGTGTGCAGAAACACACCCTATGGACTCTCCGTTATGTCAGCCACTGGGCTGAGGGTGGTGTGTTACCAGTAGTAGATAACTGGTAGACCCCGAGAGCCCTTTATGAGGCACAACGTTCATGGTGGGAACTTGGTACCTGAGTTTGGGGCCATGATCCAGCTGTGTACATAAAACAGAAGAGCTTTGGACCCTGCTCATGCTGCATTTTAGAGAACTATGTCAGAGAGCTGTACTCCTGCTGGCCATTTTAACCTGGTCTTCAACTGGTCACCTCTCTGCACTTGGCTCCAGGCAAACAATGCATGCGTTTTGCTTGGTTCCCTTTTGTGAACGCTGCTTCCCCCACCTAAGGTGCTGAGCCCCTCTGCCTGGTTTCCCCCAATCCCAGCTCTGCTGTAGGACCTGGTTCAGTTCCCAGCCCTCACATGCATTTTCTCCAAATTCTGTCCCCCGCACCAACAGTCATGAAGTCGGTCTTCTCATATGTGGGGTGTTCTGTGTCACTCTCTGCTCGGCTGCAGCTACAAATGCAAATCTTCCTCGCAACCGGACAGTAAGCTTCTTTCTCGTTTCCGAAGACTTAAGGATGCCAGCAACTTGGGCCAGGATTGCTCGACCTCATTTTAAAGGCAGAGGTATGGACCCAGCACTCACCCTGTGTCTTCTAAGGAGAGCCGGGCTGCAGTCCACGCCCCTGTGCAGACGGTGGGGATGCCTGCAGAAAGACACCTGGTTACCACAACCTGCGCTGCTTAACTGGGACAGCACACAGACTCACGTGTGCACCCTCGTTCACCAGGGTCAGCAAGGACAGGGGCTTTCTGATGGAAGGACCCAGTGGAAATGCTTCGTAAACACACGGAAGTTTATGCTCATGCCTTACAAAGCACTGAAGATAAACGTGTGCGGGAAAGCTCAAGCTTCACAGGTCTGCAAGGCGTCACCGTGCATTGTGAGTGTTGTTACCACAGTGTGGGAGCATGGCAATTACAGTAAGGGGTGCTCCTCACTGTGAACCTGGGGGGCCCACTGCTTACACCCCTTCCAGTTCTGGCTATCGAAGGTCCTGCTAACTGGCGGGGAAGCCCTTCTCCTCCATGCCACTTCTTTCTGACTTTCCCCCCACAGGGTATGCCCCAGGAACGGGACTTTATAGCAGTTTTAAACCAGGTTCCTGGTTCCTAGAAATATGAGGGTGCTGCCTATAGGAAACTCTAGTCGTGCTAGAAAAGCTCTTCCTAATATGACCGGAAGTGCATCCTACAGGGGTAGGAAAGAATTTTTCTGAGCTGAAAGGTCTGCATTTATAGGTGAGGGGGTGGAAATCAGGGACCTGGAGGGTTGGTGGGGTGGCTGATGGGCATCGGGCATACACAGGGGAGGACAGTCCTTACCCCATCCAATCAGGAGATAGGCTGCGAAGCGTCGGCTGGGGGAGAATATGGCCACCAGCAAGGTGTGGAGGTATAGCCCCTCCACCAGGAGCCAGTAGAAGTTTGCCATGATGCAATACTGGAAGAACACGAGGCTCAGCTTGCAGCCAACCTGGAATGTCGGAGACAGAGCAAGAGAACACGGCCCCATTCGGATTGAACAGTTCACCATGGGCAGAGTAGCTCCAGGACATGAGGCATGCACGTGTTTGTCTGAGGAGCCAAGGACACCAACACAGTGGTGTTGGCTGGAGATGCGCACCGTGTTAAAGTGAGGCCCTTGGCACCCACAGCCTGGGATCAGAACTCACTGGAAGATAAACACGGGCAGGGGGCAGATGCACACAGCCACCTCTGGGAGCAGCGGGCTGAGGGAACGTGGCGGTGAGCACACCTGCCTGCCCCTCTCCCTGCCCCTCCTCGGTCTGCGTCCTCATCCTCTGCCCACCCCGCTTTCGATTCTCCGTTTGTCCTCGCCACCCGCTCAGCAAGAGACAGAAAAATAAAGGGCAAAACAAGAGAAACCAGCAAGCACATTATGTCCCCAGGCATTTTGAAAGAGTTTTCACTGGGAAAAACCAGGTAGTATATAAAACAAAGATATTTTAATCTCTCAGACCTTCATATAAACATACCAGGTATTTTAGCCTCTTGAATAAACATGAAACTGAGGCTTTTAATTGGCAAGTGTGTGTAAGTGTGCTGAAAAAGAACAGAACTTCATTTCTATTCTTCTATATCTTTGCTGCCTCCCCCAAAATATATGTGTACAGGTAGATATCCATACACACTTACGTGTGGATAGATGTACCTTTACATACGTGGATATATTTTTATATGTGTACATGGATATATGTCTGTAGGTGTGGATATATTTGTATATATGCGGATACACGTATCCACGTGCATGTATTTATATACATGTGTGCGCTCACTCGTGAGCTCCATCGGACAGAAATGAGAACAACAATGCACGGAGATGTGTGTGCAGGGAGGGGTGTGGTGCCCAAGTTGGTAGACGGTTAAATGCATGATGTCTCAGCCACATGCTAGGTGATCGTGCCACCATTCAAACTGACACACCGGTTGGCCTGGACGATTGCCATGATGTCGTGCTGAATTAGGGCGGAAGATGCAGAAACAGCGTGTTGCAGGTGACTCTGTTTTCTTGGTAAAACCATGAAGCCACCGTGGGTGTCTTTCCAGCTGTCCTTCCCCACCAGCACACGGTGAGGACAGGAGGTCTGGGGCGGGACGAGCTCTCTGCTGACTTCCCCTTCTGCGGCCGTGGTTTCAGACCGCATCCCTCGGGGTCGAGAGCACGGAGGGAGGGCCTCCAGGGCCTGCTGCTGCTCAGACGGCACAGCACAGAGACGCAGGCCGATCGCCGAGGGCTGTCCCCTGGGCTGGGGGCCTCCCACCGCTGCACACAGCCAGAGTCGAGGGCACCAAGCCCTGCCTTCAGCTGGGGCTCCTGCTGAGGGTTGGCTTCTAGGCGGCCACCTGGTTGGTTGTTTTCTCTGGACTAGAATATGCTTTTCCAGGGGTCAGACGAAAGCCAACCAAAGCAGTGCAGAGAAGGATGCCAAGTGTGTACACAGCTGGGCGAGGGTGGGGACCGGAAGTGGGGTGCAGCCCCGTTTGGTGCTCCATCTAATACAAGACACTTGGCTTCGAGGCCCACTCCCTGAAAAGAAGATGGAAGTCTGCGCCCCCCTCCAGGCTGTCAGAGGTAAAACTGGGTAACATACCCCACACCCTGCAGGAACAGAAGGTATTTCCCTAGTCCCTGGAACACATATGGCGTCTGTAGTGTTGATTAAAAACAAAAACCGGGGCACCTGGGTGGCTCAGTCGTTAAGTGTCTGCCTTCGGCTCAGGTCATGATCCCGGGGTCCTGGGATCGAGCCCCGCATTGGGCTCCCTG